CCCCCCCCCCCCCCCCCCCGTGGTGCCCTTGGTTTGCAGATAGCCATGGTGCATGTTGGAAAGCCTACAAAACTCATCAGTGAAATCTTGACCAAATAATGAAACAGTAGAGTTATGAGAAAACATCATTGACACGTTCTATTAACACTCCCATGAATAAATATGTATTATGTTTAACTTCAAGTGTCAAACATTCAATAATGCCAATAATGTAGATTGCACATTATTCAACGAGAAATAAGTACTTCCTACTTTTGGGTTGGTGGGACGGTACTTCAGGATTTATGCTTTTTATTGAGGATAACTCTGGTGTTGAACAAAGATATAAAGCTCAATTATCATGAGAAGAAATCAAAGGAACATTCTAAGTGTGTGAGGTAACAAATGGCTACTTTATATATCTTTCCTTGAAAAAGCAAAAGATAATGAAAGACTAAAACTAAAGATGGTCATTCTATGATGCTTTTGAATGTTCTGTGAGTGTAAACAGATTATCTAGTCGAATGGGAACACAGGTGAGGTGATTGTTTTATCAAAAGTGGCCGCTCAATTTGAAAGATGCTGAGCAGCAGCGGTTCTTGCAGTTCATATCCCAAGTCCCCTGCTCGTAAGTTCTAAGAATATCAGCCAAATGTTTCTACATTAGATTTTTCTCGGGACCACCACGAATTTTAGATCCTGTTTTTCCTGCGTGATAAAGAAAAGGAGGATGAAGAACTTTTATTAGAACGCCCAATGTTTTGGTAGCAGAACCACCTAGGGGAAGTCTTACCTTAAGACCAAGCACATTGCATGAGATGCACCAACTGCAACTGATAAAACATGGTAGGGACCCAACCCATCATCTTCCATTAGAAATTTGACCTCCACAGGACATGGTTGTGCCTCTGGCAGCCCAGGAACACCCAATTGAGAGTCCTTAGAATTTCCCCACATGTAAAGTTTGCCCTCAGCTTTCACAATCCAGAAGTGATTTTATCAGTGTCTTTCAAAGACGTGTCTAATGAAATGATCAGAACGGCACGTCGAAGTAAGAGCGTATTGCAAAAGCAAGTATTTTCCCAAAGAAGTTTATGGTCATTCCAAATGCTAAATATGTAATATAATCATCATAATAAATAAATAAACTAACTAAACTGTGAAAATGACTTCAACTTCCTGCCTAACTGGCAGAAGAAAACAACGTCAACGTGTATGAAAGCACCAAAACAATTTGATATTAAATTCTATATGTATAATAGAAGTAGATAACCAAGGGCTACCTGTTATAGCTGCTGAAGAGGAACCACCACAGGCAATATACATCACTCGCTGATCAGCTAGAGCATCAATGACTCTCGGTACTTTTTCATTTTGTATTGAAGAATGCCCCAACTGACCATGCCCACCATAACCCCAGGAAAGTACTTTCCCATCACCTGGGTTAGAATAGCAAGAAACCTTAATAAACACAAGATGTGAATATAATAAACTCGAAGAGCAAAACCAGTAAGTGAGATGTGGCTGCTTCTACAGTCAAGTTACCCGTTAATCCAAGTGAGTGGTATCCACCACAAGCTATTTGAATGATGGGTGTGTCCTCAAGACTAGGAATAGGTTTTGGTTCCCAACCACCATTCTTATTGCCTCTACCAAGCTCAAAGTTGGTGTTTGCTGCATAAGTTACCAACAGCGAAGTATGCGATGTTAATAATATCGGTTTGCAAAGTTGATTTTTTTTTCCCTAGGGGATAACTAAGCTCAAAATCTTTATTTATAATGGCTAAACCTACAACCTCATGGCTTAAGGCCTAGCAGCATGGAAGATGCAACAAAATTTAAAAATTCTAACTGTGGAACATAACGAAGTAAAAGGAACTAACTGGCTCAGTTTTTCCACGTAAAATCTTGCACATAGATGTAAGTTCTAACATCAAAGTCACTGCCACGAAAAGAACCCAGGTCTGATCGATTGAACACTTTATCACAAACAGGCCAGGCAAAAGTTCTTTTGCAGTAAAAATCTGACACCACAATATAGTCATTCATTTTTTTTATAGGTGTTTTTTTTTGTATAGAAAGTCATTCATTGATCATGCAAGGTGTCATTACCCAAAGACAAAGACCTATCAATTTAACGCATTCAGTTGCATATCTTCAATGCTTTTTCTGGCATTTGGCCTGTGAAAGACCTTTCCATCATTCTGTAATTGCAGCCTTAAAAATGTTTGTACAGCATAGTGGCTTCTTATTTTACAAGCACATTTTGAAAGCATTCTACAGCAATATTATAATTTTTTGAACTTTTTAAGACCACAAAGACATTGAAGTAGCACTAATAATT